GGGCGGTGGCTGCGGGTACTGGTTTGGGGGCAGGCATGTATGTCCATCTGCCTTCCCTATGGGATTGTGACTCTTGGGAGGGCCGCCTTGTCCTCAGTCCTCTGGGGGCTGGAGGCCATGTTCCCTTGTCAGTGCGCCTGCACCTCTGGCGTTCCACCACTTGCAAGTCATCCATGACTACTGCACCAGAGATAGGCTTTTCCACTCCCACCATTACCGATCCGTACCAACCCCCCCCCCCTAACCAATTATACTTACAAAAAACATTTGGAGTAAAATGACCAACACGGCCTTTTATTAACAACTCAAATTTACATACACTAACCATTCCTTATAACAGAAACCAAAGAATTGTTGTTGGTCTTTGAAGGCACCCCCAAACGATCCGAAATGCACCTGCGGACAACCATATACACTAGGCCTCCAGCCGCAACCAACCAGCTCGGAGACAACCATACCGTCCGCAGTGCAGCACCACCACCTTCCAGTTAAACCTTGGTTAACTGGAAATGTCCCCCGGGCACCCCATACCACAGATGGGTCCCACACCATTGTTTTTACATTCCAAGATGAGAACCGCCTCCAAAGACCAACAACCGCCCATGAATCAACATAAACCCCCTCTCCCAGGGAGGGACCCGATACCCAACAAAACAGGGAGGGCGGGAGGGAAGCTCTTGTTCCTTCTAACGTCCAGCTCCAAAACTGACGCCCCCAAAACAGAACCCCCCACCCTAATGTGCAGCAGACCCCACCTACACTTTCAACCTCTGCCAACCAGATCCCCCACTATTACATACCAACCCCCTGGAGCTAACTTTAACCCTTTCCGTTCCTCCTTCACCACTCTGGGCCTAGTCATGCATGCCCTGCGCTATTTCATTTCTTTAGTCCCGCTACGGGCATTTCTTGACTATTGCACCAGAGATAGGCTCGTCCACTCCCACCATTACCGATCCGTACCAACCCCCCCCCCTTAACCAATTATACTTACAAAAAACATGACACCGCTTTTGGAGTACAATGGCCAACACAGCCTTTTATTAACAACTCAAATTTACATACACTAACCATTCCTTATAACAGAAACCAAAGAATTGTTGTTGGTCTTCGAAGGCACCCCCAAACGATCTGAAATTCACCTGGGGACAACCATATACACTAGGCCTCCAGCCGCAACCAACCAGCTCGGAGACAACCATACCGTCTGCACTGCAGCACCACTACATTCCAGTTAAACCTTGGTTAACTGGGAATGTCCCCCGGGCACCCCATACCACCGATGGGTCCCCACACCATTGTTTTTATCTTCCAAAATGAAAACCGCCCCCAAAGACCAACAACCACCACAGCACGCTGGGTAAGCCCTTACCCATGTGTGCCACGCCACAAACGAACTGCCCACTGTATTCCGTCCTGCAGATCCAGGGACCATAAATCTGTCCCAACCGCGTTCAAATGCACTCCATTGCTCCTAAGGTACTGCCAAGTATCCACCTCCAACTCCAAGTGCCGGACCACCAACCCTCCATTGCGACTAAAGAAGTGCCCCACCTCCTTGTTAACCTTGATCCGAGCCTTGTTGAGCCGCTCCACCGACCGCGCCAAATGCCAAGAGGTGCGGGCAACAATGTTGGACCACACCACAACCATCCCCGGATAATCCCGTCTTAACTGAAGCAAGTCCAGCTTGACATCTCACACCAGCTCCCACATGTGCCTAACCCCCCACTAGTCCCTCAACAAATGCGGACGAACGTACAGGCGAAATCTCTGGGAATCCCACCTACCAATGCATTTCACCACATCATCTGACAACCCCCACCTGGCTGCCTCCGTAGCAGCCCCTATCCGAAACGAGTGCGAAGCATATAAAGATGCATCCAAACCAGCAGCCGTCAAACACCGTCAAAAAACTGCCACAAATTGAAAACGCGTTAAAGGGGGCCCATCAGCTTGCCTGAAAAAGGACTCCTGCCCCCCTGGATGACGGGACAAAAACTCCCGAACCGCCCGCACCGGGCACACCAGCGATGCTGGAAAAGCGAAAAAACGCACCCCGCGCACTGCGTCCCAATTGGTCCGTCTTAGACCGACGGACTAGCACCTCCACCCATTCACCGGAGCACACGACCTCATCCACCAATAACCCCCCAAGAACCGATTTGGACGGACTAACGAGCTCCACAATACGCAAACACCCCAAAAAAGGCCACCGCAAAGGCAGCCCGAAATAAGCACACCTCAAAGTCCGAAGAACACACCGTCCGCAGATGCACAAACAAAGACCCCAACAACTCAAAGGACACCGGACGATGGGAATCCCTACAATGATGAGCCCTCCGGTAACCCCGGAGAGCCTGTGGAACCCAAAAATCCCAAAAAGTACAATACTACCAAACCCACCTCCGGCCCCCATGTATCAATATCGACCCGTTATAGCAGATCCAGCCACTCCCGCCAGACCTTAGAGTGAGCGAACCAAGTCGCCTCACTCACCGAACGCCGGACCCAGCCTGCAACGACCCCAAGGCAATCTCCCACAACCAGTCGGGACAAGGAACCCCGTGTTGCTCCGCCGCCAACTCTCGGAATTTGTCCCACTGAAAACGAGACAAGCGTCAGCCAAGGTGTTATCAACCCCAGGGAGATGCACAGCATGGAGAAAAACATTCAGCTGCAAGCAACGCAACACTAAATGGCGAAGCAAGGCCACCACCGGCTGTGAGGAAGCCGAGACCCAGTTGATGACCTGAACCACCCCCAAATTGTCACAGTGAAAAACGCACCTTTTGATTCCAAAAATTCTCCCCCCAAACCTCAACCGCCAACACCACTGGAAAAAGTTCCAACAGCTCCAAGTTACGGAGAAAACCTGCCTCCCGCCAGGAAGCAGGCCACGAGGCCGCACTCCACCGACCCCGGAAAAAAGCCCCGTATCCCGCGGAAGCCGCCGCGTCTGTGAACAATTCCAAGTCAAAATTGCTAACAGGGCCAGACATCCATAGCGCCCGCCCGTTGAAAGAATCCAAAAAGGTGTGCCACAACTGCAAATCCTCCCGATGCTCCCGAGTCAGCTGAATAAAATATACAGGGGAAGTAATCCCTGCCATCGCCGCCGCCAACCGGCGGCAGAACACCCGACCCATTGGCAGGATCCGACAAGCGAAGTTAAGTTTGCCCAATAACGACTGCAAGGCCCACAGCTGAATTTTTGCTTTCCTAGAACCCCACGAATTTCCCCCTGTAGGGCCAACAGCTTATCTTCAGACAGCCGGCACTCCATTGCGCCAGAATCCAAAACGATGCCCAAGAAAGTCATCACGGATGCAAAGGAATCCCGAAACATTCAGCAACATGTTGTAAAGTAGCCAGCAAAACTGCGCACACTCTGGAAGCTGGCGGACCCACGCAAAGAAAATCATCCAAATAGTAGATGACCGAATTCACCCCCTGCACCATCCTGCACCACCCACTCCACGAACGAACTGAACTTCTCGAACAACATGCAAGATATAGAACACCCCATGGGTACGCACTTATCAACGTAAAACGAGCCCTGCCAAACACAACCCAAAAAACGAAAAGTATCCGGATGGGCCGGCAACAGCCGGAACGCCGACTCAATATACGATTTCGCCATGAGCGCACCGCAACCATACCGACAAACCCAGAAAACTGCTGCATCAAAAGACGTGTAAGACACCGAACAAGACTCCGGATCAATAGCGTCATTCACCGTCCCCCCCTTTGGGAAAGACAGGTGGTGAATTAACCTAAACGCATTCGGCCTGCAGCACTCCCAGCTGCACTCTGCCCAACACTGATCCTCTTCGTCTACCTCCGTGAAGCCAGAGCTCCGGACTTCCCAGGGGGGGGCCGCAGCAGGAGACAGCCCGGCAGCCGCAGCGGTGCGTCTCCCACGCTGGGCTCCCTCCCTGACTGGCACATCGTCAGTGGAGGAGCCGTTGACATTTCTTCTTCCTCGCCACACGGGCGGGGGGAGGGGCTTCCTCCGCGCGAGACCCCGCCCGCCGAACTCCGCCGCTGACGGAGATTCCTCCCGGCTTCCCCGCGAGCAGAGGCAAGGGAGCGCCCTGCCAGCGGGGCCGGAGGGTCCCGAGCGGGGCTCCTATTTTGGCGCTGAGCTCTTGAAGGCGGTGAGGCCGGGCTAAAGCACTCCGGAGGCCTAGACCTCCGAGCACGTGGGTGCTCCCGCCCCCCTGCCGCTGGTGACAAGCCTGGGTCCCGCAGCAAATCAGAGACCCGGCTCTGCAGCCAGTCCATCCCTCTGTCCGCTGCCGCCTCCTGCAGCTGTGCCAACAGTCCCTCCATGACAGCGCAACAGGTCCGCTGGAAAGGCAGTCAGTAGCAGGACAAGCTCTTTTCCCTCCTAACGTCCAGCTCCAACTGATGCCCCCTCAACAGAACCCCCCACCCTAAGGTGCAGCAGACCCCACCTACACTTTCAACCTCTGCCAACCAGATCCCCCACTATCACATACCAACCCCCTGGAGCTAACTTTAACCCTTTCCGTTCATCCTTCACCACTCTGGGCCTAGTCATGCATGCCCTGCGCTATTTCCTTTCTTTATTCCCGCTACGGGCATTTCTTTTCCATCCATTCCATGTCACATTTAAGACATATGCCGCACCATCATGGTGACCGACCACGGTCTAGTACACGCAGCCAGCCTTGTTTGGTGCGGCGGGGGCACTTGGATGTAGTGCTCGGTGTATCAATGGAGGTATCACCTCTGGGTTTTTTGAATTTTGGGGAAAAAAAACGTTTTTTCTTAGTTTTTGTTTTAAAATTTTGTAAATAAGTGATTGTTCTCTTTCACTGATGTGTGCTAATGAGGCTGCAGTGATGGGCACTGATAGGCTGCACTGATGGGCACTGATAGGTGGCACTGATGGGCACTGATGAGGAGGCACTGGTAGGTGGCACTGATGAGCATTGACAGGAATCACTGATGGGCACTGAAAGGCAGCACTCATTTATGGCACTGATAGGCGGCACTGATAGGTGGCACTGATAGGCAGCACTGACTGGCACTGATAGGCGGCACTGACTGGCACTGTTAGACGGCACTGATAGGTAGCACTGACGGGCACTGATAGGCGGCACTGATGCGCACTGATAGGTGACACTGACTGGCATTGATAGGTGGCACTGACTGGCACTGATAGGTGACACTGAAAGGTGGCTCAGATGGGCATTGATATGTGGCATTGATGTGCACTGGTAGGCACTGATATGTGGCACTGATGTGGCACTGATGAGCACTGACAGCTGGCACTGATGGACACTGACAGGTGGTCAGCAAAGTTGTTCATCAAATTCATGGATCAGCAGGAGGTGGGAGGGTACAGATAAACCCTAAGTACTGCAGGGAAATATTGTAACTCTTATTACTGCATTTTAGTTCTGGGACTAGTCACTAGTCTAATAACTTTATGTTATTAGCAGGTGAATAATGGTGGCAAAAGTACAGTGAGTAATCTTTGATTGAAGTAAACTTTCCCTTCCTTTGGCTACTCTGCTAGAACAGTTTTTTTCCTCAGATAGACCTAAAAATTATGTGAAAATCATAAATATAGATGGTAGAATTTGAGTCAACTGTACTTTGAAAAATTCTTCACAGAGAGTGGGAATTACTGCTTTTCATAGCTGTTCCTATACTATTGTTCTTATTGTTTTTATTCAGTTTTAGTTTATATACATCCATCCTAGTACTGGTTTCCTCAGCATCCATGGTTCTCTGGCCTGTGCTTGCATCACATAAAATTTACAAAAACTGCTCGATAATACTATTCTCTAGGTATTTCAGGACACTATGGGGGTTGATTTACTAAAGGCAAATAGACTGTGCACTGTGCAAAGTGCAGTTGCACTCTGCAAGTGCAGTTTCTCCATGGCTTTGTAAATGAGGTGACGCTTTACTTTGCAAAGAATACCCAATCACATGAAAAGATCTGACCAAAAAAGTAGCTAAAAGGTATTTATCATATTTTTATATCTATACACGTTTTACCTGTAATTTTTATCTTAAATGGAATGGGTTGTTTTACAAGGTGAGGGTTCACCAAACTTTAAAGTGTTATTAAACCCCTGCCCCTGCATTCACTATATTTGGTTTCCCACAGTACACAGAACATGGAAGTGCAATTATTTTAGTAAATTTAAACTGCTAAATACCTTTTGTCATCAGTAGTTAGAGCAGTCTTGTGACTTTTATCAGTGTTCAGCAAAGTACTGGTTATAGCTTGTAGGAGGAGTTTTCTTTCTGCTCTAGGAGGATGCATAAACCCCTGACCTGTCTGGACAGTGCTGATTGGCCCTGTGCTAATCACATGCACTCTCCCAAGAAGAAAAAAACTTTCTAGCAATACACACTAAACTGAGCATGAATGGCTACAGTTCAGTCTGTCTTATCAGGAGATAAGACGTAGGACATTTGAACAAGAGGAGGACCAGAGAAGTCAGGATCAAACGGCCTTTTTACACAATGCGGAGAATTAACCCCTTAGGTTCCACAGTGAGTGTAACAAGCATGCTTTACTGCATATACAGACTGATTTTACTGTTGTGGGTTTAGTAACACTTTAAGTACTGGAATAGAAGTAAAAGTAAGGAAAAAAACAATATGCTAAGTCTATATGTTCCTGGAACAAATAAAACTAAGAACATTCCAAGGAAACAAGCTATGACAGGTTTACAGTGTCTTCATTTATGTTTTGGCTAATAAACAGCATATCCATAAACACTGAAAGATGCAGGCGGAAAAAAATCTAGTTTTTTTTAGCAAACTCAAATCCCAGGACAGTGGAGTATAATTAAAAGGGAAATGTCAAGCATTTGGCAAGCAATAAGTAAAACTAAACTGAATATATTTGCATTTTGTTGGATGAAAGTTAGTAAATGGCAACAACACATAAAAATAAGTTTGCTGGTATAGCATACACATTTACCACTTTCACAAAGTAATTCATATTTAAATACCTACAATATTTTGGGGAAAAAACTTGTCTTCTACCTGCATTCGAGAGATTATAGAGGCTGCCACTACCAACTTCATCAGCTAGAAATGCCAGTTGCCTGACTGTCATAAAATGCTGCATTTTGGGTGACAATCTATAAGAATCTTTGGGTGACAATCTATAAATATAAAACTACAGGGACTATTCATGATAGGTGTGCAAGTGCTTGAGACATTTGCACAGCAATCTCTTTTATAAATAGACCCCTAAGTTATGCAATCATAATTGTATTACAACTGTCTTTGTTCATTATGTATATCTTGCCCAAGCAAAACATGTTATATATTGTAGTTTATCAGTCCTTTGATGTGGTGGTTACATTAGTTTTCTATCTTTAGACTATGTATATTTTATACAATTACAGAAATATAATATTAAAACAGTGCCACACTAATCTGATTGTGCTAACTATAAATCCAACATAATAATATAAAATTATCTCCTGGTGTGATAAATTATACAATTCTGTTATTCATATGAAATCACCAAAAACTGAAATAGTAAATAACTTAAACATAAAAATTTTATATTGATATTATAATAATTTTATGTTTAAGTGATTACAGTTTTTTGTTGTTTACTGTGAATAATAGAATTTTAGCATTTATCACATCAGGAGATATTAACTTTATATTATGATTTACAGTTTGCACAATCAGATTAAAGCAGCACTGTTTTAATATCTGTAATTAAACTCACATACACACGCTCAAGTTTTATTATATATACACATTTACTTCTAGGCCTTTTCACATTCTTTACAGCCACAAGTGAGCCTAAAAGGATTTTGTTTTGTTTTTAACCTCCCTGGCGGTATGATTATGTCAGGAATTTTGTACCAAAAGCGGTACCATTTTTTTGCATGGAAATATGTATTTTTTTATTGTAGGCCTGTAATTTAGGAATAACTCCCTGAAATCTGTCCGAACAAGAGTCTAGTAAACATTCCGGATATAATAAAACTTGAAACATGAAATCATAAATTATAATTTAATAAATACTCATAAAAAATAATAATATAATAATAATACATTTAATTCAATAATATAATCAAACCAAAAACACTGACATTTGAAATATAGCGCCAAGTTCGCACATCACTGAGCAAAGTCGCAAAATCGTTTTCAGTGTCTGATGACGAATTTCCCCCATGAATCATTATCACTCAATTCTGCAAGTAGTTCTGATTTACTATCACTGTTCTCTAGCTGGTCTAAAACCGCTTTTGACCTAAAGGAACGCTTTTTGGATGCCATGGACCTTTCTCAGTTTCCAGGCAGAAAGAACAGTCAAAATGCAGGCAGGACACAGGACAAAGCAGTAGGGACAAAATATATGTGAAATGCTTTGATACAGGAATGTTTTGCTATGAAAATAATTGTTTTAAAAAAAAATTTAATTTTTTTTAAATTTTCAAATTTGCCACTGGTTCCGGCGCCTGTACGTCCCGACGTCACAGGGACCGAAACACGGAAGCCAGATGCCGGCATCGGCTGGAGGAGATGGCTGGGGACGCTGCAAGGGACACATCGCGGAAGCGAAGGACAAGGTAAGCGCTGTAGGGAATCCCTGTGCAACGCCGTATGGTAAGCCCGAGTGTAGCTCGGGGTTACCGCTTTTGGTACTGAAACTTTACCCCGAGCTACACTCGGGAATACCGCCAGGGAGATTAATTACAGAAATATACCCGTGGATCCTGTAAAAATCAGGTGCACTTTTAACTTCCTGTGCACTGAACTGAAATCTCACACAATGTTAGCAGCTTTCTAAGCCATATTCGGTGAACTACATAATTACTCCTCCCTAAGTGATGGAAATGATGGGAGGTAGAGGTGTTTGTAGTCTGAATCAAGAAAGCAGCTTAAAGTGGCAAAGCTGCTCTTCCTTAGAAGCAGTGGAGTTGATTTACTAAAACTGGAGAGTGCAAAATCTGGTGCAGCTGTGTATGGTAGCCAATCAGCTTCTAACTACAGAATACAATAGCAGTAAAAGTGAGCGCTCTTGTAAAGTAAGCAGCTGGACATCCAAGGAAACCAAATAAAAGCCTTGTCACAATCGCATAACAATATATATGTACAGCGCTAATCAATAAATACTGGTATCATATAATCTAAATGTCCCCAATGATAAGAAAAAAAAAAAAAAACCGTGACAGTTCTTATAATGAATATAGAGTGATATATAGCTTCCAGTCCAGTGGTGGTGTTCCTTGTAATAAGGTAAAAAATGCACACTAACCAGAAGCGTATATGAATCACGCAGTGTATAAATCATGCGAGTCCACGTCACTGGTCTAGGTCCGGACTGGAACTCGGGGTAGGGTTCTCCTTCTAGCTAGTATGGATAAATAGCCCTCAATGGGTATGGGTAGATCCAGTAGGCCAGAGGTCTCCTTTAAGGGATAGGTGGGTGAAGATTCCTGAATTACAGGTGCTTCCCTCTTTGGGTCTGGTGGGGTGGTAACTGGATCACAAGCAGGGCTCTGAAAATAGCAAAGCTCCTCAAGGGAGATAGGGGAAAGTGCCCATAGTGTAGTAATTATGTGATAATTTATTAGATAGTAAAAACGATTCCTTAACACAAAATAAGACAGTATAGCAGCATCAGGTATGGGTAAACAACTGACCATCCAGACAGCAAGATGGCGGCCGGGCCTCCACGTGGCACCGGCGGCGTGACGTCATGACGTCCTAGGCTCCACCAAGATTCTAACTACAGCTTGTTCAATTAAGCTTTGAGAAAATAACCTGGAAAATGATTGATTTCTATGCAGAGCTGCACTAGATTTTGCACTCTCCAGCTTTAGTAAATCAACCCCAGTGTGGCAAGTGTACTGTAACAAACACACCGAGCTGTAACAAAAACACCCGGCTGACCTAAAGCATAAAGTGTTAAAATCAACAAAAACAGTATATAAAGTGATGTAAAACAAACGTCCGGCTGAGCAATGAATCAAGTAAATGTTCAAATGGGCTGGATATTCACAAAAAGTGTGTGTTAAAAAAAGAAAAGAAAAGCAGCTCTACTTAATATACAAAAAAACAGATAAATTGCTGTAGGTCAGCTGGGTGTTTATTACAGCCCGACCAGGTGTTTACTGTCATTCTGATCGTATTTTATTTCTGATATACGTTTCACATATTTCACAGTTTTTGTTGTTTTTTTACACTTTACTCTTCAGCTCAGCCAGGTGTTTATTATTGCTTTATTATTGATTTTGGTTTATTTTTGATATATGTTTCACATATCATTTGGATTTAGTGGCTCAGCCAGTTTTTGTTTTTTTATTTACTATTGGTCTTGTTTCACGGATTTATTCTATTACACATTGTGTTTGATGCTCAGGGGGGGTGTTTATATATTATTAGTGTATTTTCCTGTGTCGCTAGGGGGCAGTGCAGCACTATTCTTGGGGAATGCACGTTATTACTTTACCCCTATGTAAAAACAATAATTTATCCTTGCAGTATGGGAGGGTCAACTGCAAACGTAGTTATATTTTTCTTTGGAGTTAGGCTGTAAGTCTCATTAATTGCTTGAGATATTTAAAATAAGACCTGAAAGCTATACCCTCAGACTAAATAAAAAAAACTTCGGTCGTTCAAGCGGCCGACGTTACCAGCAACAGTAAAAAAAAAATCGGCCGATTTTCATCCCGTCTACAGCCGGCAAAAAGTGTCCCTGCAGAGAGCTCCGCTATTTCTTTGACAGTTCCTTGACATGTATAGCAGTTGCAACAATGTATTTATTTGTATCCATTTAGGATACAGATGTTTTTATTCGGAAACAAATAGATACATTGTTGCAACCGCTATAAATGTCAAGGAACTGTCAAAGAAATAGCGGAGCTCTCTGCAGGGAGATTGGAATACCTCTTCAACCGCTATCTCTTCTTCATCCTCTGTCAAAGAAATAGCTTCCTCTCTCTGCAGGGAGACTTTTTGCCGGACTGGAATACCTCTTCTTTTTCATCCTCTTCTTCTTCATCCTTTTCTTCTTCTTCTTCATCCTCTTCTTCTTCTTCTTCATCCTCTTCTTCTTCTTCCTCTTCTTCTTCTTCATCCTCTTCTTCTTCATCCTCTTCTTCTTCATCCTCTTCTTCTTCATCCTCTTTCTTCTTCTTCCTTCCTCTTCTTCTCCTCTTCTTCACCCTCTTCTTCTTCATCCTCTTCTTCATCCTCTTCTTCTTCATCCTCTTCTTCATCATCCTCTTCTTCTTCTTCCTCTTCTTCATCCTCTTCTTTTTCTTCATCCTCTTCTTCTTCCTCTTCCTCTTCCTCTTCTTCTTCTTCTTCTTCTTCTTTCTGTCTTCCTCTTGCTGGTCATTGCTCATGCGCAGATTTTTTTATCGGTAAAAAATCGGCCGATTTGCCCATCATGGCCGCGAAATTCGGCCGATCGGCAAAATCGGCTGCTTTTTTTCCAACTCTACCAATAAAAAAAATCTGCCAAAATACAGAAAAACGGCCGAACAATTAGCCCACTAACGATCCGAAACAATCGGCCGATTTTTGACCCATCTATGGCCTGCATAAGCCTGTGTTACATTTTAATATCCTACTACAAGCTGTGAACTATCAGGTGACAGGTTTTTTTATACTGACAGTGGAAAGTAATGGGATATCTGGCAAAACCTGGCATGGATCTCTAATGCTGTATATGGGGAACTGTAAGTATTTAAATTGTACGCTGCTAATCATAATTATATTATTATTATAATTGTAGAATTTTTGTATTTCTATGGACTGCTTGACTTCTGATATAAAATTTTGAAATAATAAGTGGTTTCTGCATACTACATAAAGAATGCATGCTCATAGAGAGAGATTGCTATACTGTGTTATCAGTCTCTGTGTGCTCAGTCTTATATTCGGTGTTAACCTGTCAGGCTGTGAAAATTGTTTCACAGCTGGTTTTACTTTTACCAAACTAAGCTCTAACCTCATTCACCAAACAAGGTCTTTGCCCCGGTTACCTAGTCACTGTGGGCGTGTGTCCTTGCCACACATTCAAAACCAATGCTTTTTAAAAAAATTGAATAGCGTAGGCAAGATTTAAACACCTTTTATTGTTCCTTTTTTGCCATTTGTGCCTTGTAGGGAGATTTTCCTGCCCTGTACACTAAACATGAAGCGAGAATGTCTTTCTGATGTGAGGGAAATCCCTTCTTAGACAGATGTCACAGGAGCAATTGTCCCCATTGTCCCCTCATTTGCAAAACCATAATGTATGCAGTGCACACAGGGCTTCAAGGGGGATGGGGCCCACTGTGCTCTCACTGCATGCATTGGGAATACACCAGTGAATAAAACCAAGTACAGTGAGTTGACGCCCCAAAGTGGAAGGCCTGTAGATTACACATGTTGGAGTGTATATGTATATTTCTGCAGTTTATCTCTATGTAAACAGTGCATGTGTGAATGTATATACAGTGTTTGTGTATACAGCGCGTGCATAGGTGGTACTGCTGTGATATGCACGAACACATGGTGATTTAAAGAACCATAGGGGTGCTGTGCACTAGCTTGTACCCCCTGCACCATGTATTTTACATTCATCTGACCCCTGCACCATGTACATTACATTAACCTGACCTTTCACTCTGTACATTACATACCCAAATAATGAATGAACTGTGATTAACCACATTTTTTTGAACACTGAGCTAAAATTCACTTGCCACACTCAAGCCTGATTACTGCCGGACCTGCTGAATCAAGAAATCACTTAAATAGAAGCTGTCTCATAAAGTGAAACACTCTAAAAGTCTAAAATCTAAAAAAGCAACACATCATACGGCAATCTAAAGAAGTTCAAGAACAGATGAGAAACAAAGTAATTGACATGTATCAGCCTGGAAAAGGTTAAAAAGCCATTTCTAAGGCTGTGGAACTCCAGGGAACCATGGTAAGAGTCATTATCCACAAATGGAGAAAACTTGGAACAGTGGTGAACCTTCCAAAGAGTGTTCTGCCTACCAAAATTACTCCAAGAGCACAACAACAACTCATCCAGGAGGTCATAAAAGGTCCCAGAACAACATCTAAAGAACTGCAGGCCTCACTTGCCTCAGTTAAGATCAGTGTTCATGAATCAACACTGGGCAAAAATAGTATCCATGGGAGAGTTCCAAGGTGAAAGCTACTGCTGACCAAAAAGAACACAAAGGCTCATCTCATATTTGCCAGAAAACATCTTGATTATCCCCAAGACGTTTGGGCAAATATTCTGTGGACTGATGAGACAAAAGTTGAACTTTTTGGAAGGTGTGTGTCCCGTTACATCTGGCGTAAAACTAAAACAGCATTTCATAAAAAGAACATCATACCAACAGTTAAACATGGTGGTGGTAGTGTGATGGTCTGGGGCTGCTTTGCAGCTTCAGGACATGGACAACTTTCCATAATTGATGGAACCATGAATTCTGCGCTCTGCCAGAAAATCCTGAAGGAGAATGTCCGCCCATCAGTTCGTGACCTCAAGCTCAAGCGCACTTGGATTATGCAGCAGAACAATGATCCAGAACACACCAGTAAGTCCACCTCTGAATGGCTCAAAAAAAACTAAAATTAAGGTTTTAAAGTGGTCTGGTCAAAGTCCGGACTTAAATCTGATTGAGTTGCTCTGGCACGACCTAAAACAAGCATTTAATGCTCAAAAACCCTCCAATGGCTGAATTAAAACAATTCTGCAAAGAACAGTGGGCCAAAATTCCTCCACAGCGATGTGAAATACTCATTGCCAGTTATCACAAACACTTTATTGCAGTTGTTGCCGCCAAGGGTGGCACAACCAGCTATCAGGTTTAGGGGGGGAATAGGGCCTGGTAGGTTTGGACAGCTTTTTTTCCCTTAATAAATAAAATCATCATTTAAAAACTGTATTTTGTATTTACTCGGGTAGTCTTTGTATAATATTAAAATTTGTTTGATGATCTGAATCATTTAAGTGTGACAAATATGCAAAAAAAAAAAAATCAGGAAGGGGCAAATACTTTTTCACAGCATTGTACATAACTTTACTTACACTTTATCACTGCACTATATACAATACAATGCACTATGTACATTACAACACTTGACCACTGTAGTATGTGTACCTTACATACACCTGAACTTTGGACTAGATAGATACATTACAACCTAACGCCTGCACTTTGTACAGTACATAGCCCTGTGTGTGTGTTTTTGTGTGTTTGTGTGTGTGTGTGTGTATATATATATATATATATATATATATATATTTATATACAGTTAGGTCCATATATATTTGGACACAGGCACAATTTAAATTTTTTTCAGGTATTTACCAAAACATATTCAAGCTATTATTATTATTATTATACAGCATTTATATAGCGCCAAAAGGTTTGCTCAGCGCTGTACATTATAGTGGGGGACAGAACATGAGACAATACAGTAACAAAACAATACACGAGGGGTTTGAGGGCCCTGTTCTTTTGAGCTTACAATCTAGGAGGGAGGGGATAGTGGTACAGGAGGAAGTGGCTGTGGGGGATGGAGTGGTAGGAGGAGTGGAGGAGATCGGTTGTTAGGTGAGGGTGGGGTAGGCTTCCCTGAAGAGATGGGTTTTCAGGGTGCACCTAAAGGTAAGGAGGGTAGGTGACAGTCTGATGGATTGGGATAGAGAGTTCCAGAGGATGGGGGAAGTCCTGGAGAAGTCCTGCAGTCGGGTGTGGGAGGAGGAGACCAGGGAGCTAGAAAGTAGGTCTTGTGAGGAGCGAAGAGTACGGGTTGAGTGGTATTTGGGTATCAGGTCAGTGAGGTAGTTAGGGGCAGCGTTATGAATGGCTTTGTACGTCAGTGTTAGTATTTTGAATTTAATGCGTTGGGCAATCGGAAGCCAGTGGAGGGAATGACAGAGGGGGGTGGCAGAAGCAGAGCAGTTGGTAAGGTGGATGAAAAACAAAAACGAATTCTCCTGCGCTCTGGGACTCAGACAGGTGGCGAACAGATGGAACCAGGCCTGGAGGGATCGTCCACCAATGCATAAAGGGCTGTGCGGCTCCAAAACAAGGCTGGGGAAGCCCAATCAACACTGCAGAATGAAATGAAAACGAGAAGCGCACCAACCTTGCGCATTACCTCAGTAACCAAAATTTATTAATTGTAAAAAATATACTCACAAACAGCGAATAAAATCAGGCATGTAAGTCCTCACAGGGACTTGAAGATAACATGAGTCCCATCAGGGGAGTGGGTGTTCAGTACAGCTGACGCGTTTCGAAGGGGGTCCCTTCTTCCTCAGAGCTAACTGAACTGTGAGTGCTCTCTCCTATATATACTCCTGGACTGAACCTAGGCCCTCCCCACTGGGTTGGGCAGTCTCAGGTTAGTAGGAGGGGCCAAGATATCGTCAACAGACAATCACTATTTGTAATGCCATCAGAGAGAAATGATATAGACAAACATAAAATATAAGATATAAAATATATAAAAAATATATAAAAAAAACACATTTTGCATACACCACTTAGTGTACATATAATATATCAACTAGGCGATGACACCATTGGAAATGATGATAATAGATAATACATGATGAAACATAATATATTGTAAATAGTTAGTCTTATTCCATGATTCATTAGTGAGCGATGTATCAAATGGACAATTCATCCAGAGGACTTGTCATGAAGCTGGATGAGTATATAGCAATTAATGTAACAATAGACATAAATTGTTAGTCAATGGATGTCTTAATGGTTAAGTGTCCATAGTGACACAAACACATGTATATATATGTAGACATATAAACCCACACACAAACCTTCAACCAGAAGCTGTATGTTGTGTGCTACCAGGCAGCTGCATGTGCTTCGTGATCGGATGATGGAGAGGATTGGATCAGTACTCTTGGATCCGTAGTAATGTATAGTCAGCAGCAGAGGGAGATCTTATGCTTCCCTCTATAGCTGCAGGTTTACCCTGTGTGTGGAACGCACGCTAGTATGGAATGCTCGTGACTGCGCATGCGTGGACCAACATGCGCATGCGCAGTGTGAGGAGGACAGGTCCGTCGGCGCGATCACGTGAGCGCGCATCACGCGCATCTGACGGCCACTCTGTGCGCGTACACCAACACCGCTCTATTGGGTAAGATACCAGACCTGCCACCCCCACCCCCATCCTCTGACGAGGCTCTAGTTGGGGGAAACTGTCTGGGGATTCCCCTCTGACGAACTTGCTGTTGAGTGCACGTCATAGCCAATCAAATGGGGTGGTCAGACGGCCCTGGCTGTCGCACTCCAGAGGTGTATTGAAGTGAAAGACATCAGCATGAACATATGTATACATGTGTATACACTACATACACATGCGTGTAACTCCTTAAGTGGATATGACAGTAGTGTTGCCGGTGGGTAAAAAATATAGGCATATGTTCACATGAACG